TATATATACACACACATACACATATACATATATCTATACACACACATTTGCACATACCATTCTGTCAGTGCCCYAATAGAAAACCCAGGATGTAAACACCTGTTTGTGTGCAGTTGTGAGCATGCATGTATATACAAGATCTCTCCCTGGGATGTGTCTTTAAGCCGAGCTTCCTCATGGCAGAGCGCACCCCCTCCCCCTCCCCACATACCCCGCCCATGACCCCTGCAGGCTCTCGGGTGAAACTGAAAGTGAAACTTAAACTGTCTCCTGAGCTCCTAACCCTAACCTCACTTAGTGAAGCTCTTGTCAGATTAAAAATACCTTTGAGGAAATGTATTTTCTGATCCCGAGTAAACTGCATCATAGCAGCACCCCCCCACGAACGCGAGCACCCACCGCACCGAAATGGGCGAGACAGAAGCAGGAGGAGGTTCTTAAAGAGACAGAGGCCAATTTCAAGGCGTTTCGAAGAGGAAGTGATGAGAAGATAAGTTTATTTTCTATTTAAACATAAAAACAGCATTTTAATAACAGCTGAAGATGACATAGATACTTTATTATGGTATAGTATTTAAATGTATGCCTGAGAAACACATAATATTGCCCCTTTAAAGTTTATTGTTTCCCATCCTTGTCTTGCTCAAATAACCCAAACATGTATGATGAAAATGTTAATAAGAATATTGTAAATAGAGATGAGTGATGGGATAACAGCAGCTGTTTGAGCAAGAGATTATATCCGCCTTCAGCCCAGTTTGTTTGCTGTTCAATGTGTTTGTCTGTTTGTTTATTGACTGTATGCGTTAGCGGCTGCCAGCCTCTGTGCATTCGGCAGCACATGAATGCCTAATGGTTATTCTACCCCACCTTTTTTGAGAGGAGTGACCCTGCCCGTGTTGCCACAGACAGTATCTCGCGGAGGATCAGTAATTACCCACTGCATTCGCTCACGCACAAACACACGCTCCCCTTCATATTAAAATGCTGAGATCTGAGTCTCCTTTATCGATTTAAGGGTGGACTTTCTGCCACTTGCTTTTGCTGCTTCAAAAAGTCAGCGGCGGCTGCATCGAGCCCGTGAGTGACATGTGATGACATTAACTTGAATTCCCTGTCTCCATGCATCATTTGAGGTTCATTCAGAAGGCTGGAGATTGCCTCTTTTTTTTTTTGTTAGTTCACACTATTTTGACTTCTTTTACTTCTTTTTTCCTCCTGATCTGAATGATTTGCTGGGTCATCAGCTCTGATTAAGAGATGAGCAACAGTCTTAATAGAGAAGAAGACTGAAAAGCGGTACACAAAGTGACAAATGGGGTCTCAGTCCTTGTTTACCTGTTCTTCAGCTTTAGTTTAGTTTAGTTTAGTTTAGTTTAGTTTAGTTTAGTTTAGTTTAGTTTAG